CGATACAGACAAGCGCGGAACAGATAAAACTCGGTTTTCCGAAGGAAGAAGCGTCAGCAGGAAGACCGAGATCGCGAGGTGATGGAAAATCTGTACCGCGTAAACGACACACGGAAGTTCTATGAGACGCTAAATAGTTCGCGAAAAAGCTACGTGCCGCAAGCCGATATGTGCAAGGACTTGGACGGTAACTCACGAACGAGTGTGAGGTGATTGAGAGGTGGAAGCAGTACTATCATAGAGGTAACTCTAAGACCAGAAGGTTCCGAAGAAACGTGCTCAACTTTTTGGCTCAGCTCTCTTCGGTCCCAAGCTAATCGATGCATCCCTCGAAACATCTGTCAAACTTTCATAGCAAATCAAAACAAACATAGTGTAGTACTAGAATTTCGACAAGAATGGGGTACGTTAATCGATTTGCTTGGGACCAATGGGCTAGTCAAGTAGTGAGCCAATTTTAAATCGTTAGTTTCGAATTGATTGTTGGTACTATGACGAGCACCTCAACGGTGAAGCAGCAGAAAACGAAGGTGGCACGGCAACAGACCTTGGAGCACGCGCAGAAGATGACAGGCTACCGGTCCTTGATCCTCAAGAAGTTGAGGAGGAGATCGGTTGGCTGAAGAACAACAAAGCAACTGGTGTAGATCAACTACCAAGTGAGCTATTAAAATACGGTGGTGAAGCACTGGCTAGAGCGCTGCACTGGGTAATTGCCAAATTTTGGGAGGAGATATTACCGGAGGAGTGGATGGAAGGTGTCGTATGTCCAATCTACAAAAAGGGCGACAAGTTGGATTGCTGCAACTACCGAGCGATCACACTGCTGAGCGCCGCCCACAAGGTACTCTCCCAAATTCTATGCCGCCGCCTGTCACCATTTGCAAGAGAGTTCGTGGGGCAATACCAGGCGGGATTCATGGGTGCCCGCGCTACCACGGACCAAATTTTCGCGATTCGGCCGCGAATACAACGTGCCCACACATCATTTGTTCATCGATTTCAAATCCGCATACGACACAATCGATCGAAATCAGCTATGGCAGATTATGCACGAGTACGGATTTCCGGATAAACTGACGCGATTGGACAAGGCAACGATGGATCGAGTGATGTGCGTTGTTCGAGTATCGGGGACACTCTCGAGTCCTTTTGAATTGCGAAGGGGGTTACGGCAAGGTAATGGACTTTCGTGTCTGCTATTCAACATCGCGTTAGAAGGTGTGATCAGAAGAGCTGGGATAGACACGAGTGGCACGATCTTCAGGAAGTCCATCCAGCTTCTTGGCTTCGCCGATGACATTGACATCATGGCACGGAACTTTGAGACGATGGCGGAAACGTACATCAGACTGAAGGCTGAAGCTAGGCGGATTGGACTTGCCATCAACGCATCAAAGACAAAATACATGAAAGGAAGAGGTTCTAGGGAAGACAATGTTTGCCTCCCACCCCGAGTTCAGATTGACGGTGTCGAAATCGAGGTGGTCGATGAGTTCGTGTATTTGGACTCACTGGTGACCGCCGAAAATGATACCAGCAGAGAAATTCAAAGACGCATTAGAGCAGGGAATCGTGCCTACTTTGGACTCCGGAGGACGCTCCGATCGAATAAAATTCGCCGCCGCACGAAGTTGACTGTCTACAAGACGCTGATTGGACCGGTGGTCCTCTACGGCCACGAGACCTGGACTATGGTCGTGAAGGACCAACGCGCCCTTGGTGTTTTCGAACGGAAGGTGTTGCGTACCATCTACGGTGGAGTGCAGATGGATGACGGAACGTGGAGGAGACGAATGAACCACGAATTGCACCAGGTGCTGGGAGAACCATCCATCGTCCACATTGCAAAAATTAGGCGACTACGGTGGGCTGGGCACGTCGTAAGAATGCCGCACGACGACCCAGTGAAAATTGTTCTAGAAAGCGACCCAACAGGAACAAGAAGAAGAGGCGCGCAGCGGGCAAGGTGGCTCGACCAAGTAGAAGGCGACCTGCGGACCATTCGCAGACTACGAGACTGGCGAAGTGTGGCCATGGATCGAGTAGAGTAGAGACGACTTCTTCGGACAGCAGAGGACAACAAGGCCTTAGTCTGATTGATAAGGTAAGTATGCGTTACACCTATCATTTGACGGACGAACCCCTTCGGACCCACCAATGTCGGTGACGCAGTATTGTGGGTCCCGCTGGAGCGACGGATGCTTGCTGCATCTGCGTTAAATTTGAAACCCATCAATATTGATGTTGACGTTACTATCCCGGTTACTGTAGCTCTTCTTACGACAAATTCCATCAAGTAGGTATCATTCTGTTCTGAGCGAAAATACGTGGACTACTCCTTCCTATTTCACTTCACTATTTATAAAATCCGTGAAGAGTCGAAGCCGTCAACGTGAATTGACGTTTCGCGTCGTGTGAAGTCACCAACATTTACCTTGCGTTACAACTGTCATTTGACAGATGAACGCATAGTTGCTTGGATTGCACTTTTTCAGTACGCACTCGGTGAACAAAATTCAGAACAAAGTTACTTTTACTCAGCTTCGAAGGAACGATATTTAGGCAAGAAAAAAATCCCTGATTGTTTCGAGAATTCCCTGATAACTCCATGAATTTTCCAGGGAATTAAGAATTCGCTGATAATACCAGGTTTTCCAGGTTTTTTTTTCAGGTAGTCGCCACCCTACTTAAGGAGGTGTTGGAAGGAGGTTAGCAAATGTTCACATTCCATACACATTTTCAAAACATACCTTCCAAAAACTTGGACAACGTGATACATGCACGCCCCTTAAATTACAAAAAACCTTCCCCCTATTCTGCGAGTTACTAGTGAGGGTGACAATAGTCACGTCATGTGAGGTGACTCTCCATTTGATGTGCACAGAGCGTCACCTCACACGACGTGACTATTGTCACAGAGAGTCACGTGACTTGCAGAATAGGGGAGTTTTTCTTTTGCTTGCTTGTTATCACTACATCACTCTTTTTATGTAATTAAAAAATCCCACCTTTCATAATCGTAGAACTGATTTTAGCCCATAATTCCCTATATATTGTACTCCAAAATCCCCTAATATCTCATGGATTGTTGAACAAAGATTTGACATTTGAAAATGATTTGAAAATAAGACATTCAAGTTGTACAAAACGCGCTTGCCAATTATGCCCCACCGGGGGCCTCCCTTAGCTCAGTCGGTAAAGGCGCAGCTACAAAGCAAGACCATGCTGGAGGTGGCTGGGTTCGATTCCCGGTCCGGTCTAGACATTTTTCGGGTTGGAAAATTTATCGACTTCCCTGGGCAATAGGGTGTGATTATACTTGCCATACAAAAAAATAGTACCAGGCATCGAAAGCTCTCAACTAATAACTGTGGAAGTGCATCTAGAACACTAAGTTGAGAGCTCGCAATAAGCTAATGTGCGATAAGCAATAAGCTTGGAATTCGAGGAAGAAGAAGAAAGGGTGCTCATTATGTTCCACTTATAATCTTAGGTTCACAATTTAACACGTTTTGAAAAACATATGGTTTTTCTCCAACTCATTATTTACCGCCAATTTACCGGTCAGTTCAGGATAAATCGGACGATCAAAATGCACTATTACATTGCTCACTTAATTAGATGTATGACAAAATGCTCAACATGCTCACTATGCCCCACCTACCCCTATCAGCGTAAAATATGGCAACTCAAAAAGCAGAACTGTAACTTGACCTCTGGACGATTGAATTTCAGGATGAGACTGATAGGTATGTGATTACTTTGCTTTATGGGACAAACTGACTTGATGTTGTTTTCACATTTTTCATTATAAATGGCTATAGTTTTATCACATAATATGAAAGTAGATATCATATAGATATCAAGTAGATAGCGTTGTTATCTCAAAATTGACGAAAATCCATGTGGGACAGATATGCAATTATAGGCAGTTTGGTTAACCTTGGGATCAATATGACCACATAGATTACACCCAACATGATTTTTTTTTGTATCAGAATGATTTAGGGTAAGTGTGCCACTTATGACAGTAGTGCTTCAGTTTGTGACCCTATGACCTAACTCAAATTTAAAATAAATGGTCCTGGTTTTATTTGCGGAGATATATCGTAAAATCTATGTCCTTACCTTACATCAGATAGGGTCAATTAGAGGACCACTAGGGCGAAAAACTGCCACACTTACCCTATTGGTATGATAAAATGTGCTTCATGTACTTGGTAAGATTTTATTTGCGAGAAATCGGTAATTGAAATCAATGTTTACAAACGCAGTTTCGCCCTAATGAAAGTTGGCATCGATATGTTTGTAGAATCCCTTCAACTAATAACCACAGACACTTTCTAGACAGACACTGTGGACAGAACAGATAATACTCAAGCTCTGAACAACCGTGAATTAATACTTCAAAGACGAGTCTCGCCCAGCCCAGCCGTCGTCCGAAAGACAAAGAGCATAGTGGAAAAAAAAATAGGGTCGTCCAGTCGACGAGACGAGAGATACCAGACCAAGAAACGCATCGCTCCAAGGATGATGAAGATGATGGACGATGGGAACAAGAGAACAGATGATAAGCCTAGAAGCAGCACCGCAGACAGAAGCAAATATTATGCACTCTGTTTCAGCCACAGCTAGCCAAGGTTGTAATACGAGCGAGCAAATGCTGCACTTTGGCAGCAACACCATTTGAAAAACTCCAACTCATTCCCCTGCCCGAACAGATCGCACTGTACTCAAAATCGATTTCCACACGATTATGTGCGACGCCAGTAAAGTGGATATAGACAAGACGATGCATGCAAGTAGTGCACGACGAAAAAAAAAATTTGCAGCAGCATAATAATGCAAAAATGGCCCCCTCATTCGATTTCGAATTTCCGGGATTGGTGATTTATTGTGCAATTTTTTTTTTCCGAGAATTTCTTCACTAGTTTGCTCGGTGGTAAATAGTAGTCAGAAGTAGTGGCACAAAAGATTACAGATAGCAGTGCACTTACCTCAGCAGCAAATAGGTTGAAATCCCAGTCCGTAATCCCTCCCTTGGATGCGTAGCAGGGTACAGGTTTTCGTTTATTGTCAGCAGGAGCTGCGAGATTGGTTCGTCACTTTCTAAAACGTCGCGAAAAGCAGCAACCAAAACAACAAAAAAAGAAAAAAAGGTATCAATTGCAGCCATATGCAATATTTTTGCTCTGCTACTAATACTATACCTTTCCGAGAGTTGCTACTGCTCTAAACTCACTGGTTTACTCTTCCTACTCCTCGTCGCTACTGGGGCTGCTTCTAAATGTATTAAAAAATACTACGCTTTTGATGACAGAAGTAGCGACGACGACGACGTCGTCGACTGCGATCTACTGGCTTGCTGGCTGCTAGAAAAATATACACACTCTACTACTTCACAGCTGATCAGCGGTTTGCGGTAGTATTGGTGGGGTACTTCCCTGCACCAGGTCAAGCACGAATATGATTGTAACAGTACTATTAGTTTTTACTGCGCGCTGCTTCTGCTTCTTCCTTCGGGTTGGACTCACGAGATGCACATTCACACACTGCACTGCACCCTGATAATGTCCACTTCTTGATAGCTTCCTCCAGGTTCAGTCCACAAAACGACCTTGCATTCGCTGTATTGGTGTGTCGGAACGTCAAAAGCGCCTGGTGAAAATCGTACGAACTACAATGAAAACCACTGACAAATGGCACAGTACCACCCACTGCCTACTAGATGTCACTGCTGATCTTTTGTGTTCACACAATGCGCGCAAACCTCACGCACACTAGCTTCCCATCTGCTTATGCTCTCTCTCGCACTTCTCACTCATCTCTATCTGTGAGCTGTATTTTGGTTTGCCTCTTCACACGGAAACACACATACAACACACACAGGATTTTCGCCCTTATTTTTCTTTGTGTTTTTTTATGATTTTTATGTTTTTGTTTACGTTCTACTTTTTCTTTCTCCCTGCTCGCTAGTCACTTATGAACTGCACTGCTTCTTCTTCCCTTCCCTGCGCACACTTCATAGAAAGTTTTCCTCCTCTTGGATCCCTCCCCGCACCATTCTTCTTGCACAATGCGACCAACCAAACGGTACACTCCACTCCTTTGTCACTTGCTCTATTGCTCCTGCACTCCCACCAGCACACAGAAAGAAAAAAAAACAGAAAAATAATTTAATTGCAACTAATTTCCAGCCTGCAGGGCTCGGATCGATAAAGTCCCCAATTATCGGAATGACATCGTTGATTTGTCAAAATGCAATTTTCACGCTCTGTAGCTCCCCGATTTCACACAAAGGAAGTGCGAAGAAGCGAAAAATATTACGCATTCCGTGTCATGATCGCTTTTCGCACTGCCTCTGTGTCTGAATTTCCTACAGGCGAAAAAATCGAATAACATTTAATTCCTGCCTCGTCGCCACTTTGAGCGGAGGCTTTTCTAATTTATTTTCAAACAAGAAAACGATTATTACAACAGTTCCGCAAAGGGTTGCGAAAATTTCCTCAGCACTTTGGAAAATACAATCTACCGATTATACACACACAGTTCTTCAGTCACAGTTAGTTGGCCAGCAGCGAACAGTACCAGGGAAGAATTAATAATGACGATGAACGAATGGATTCGTATAAAAAGATATTCTGCATCTGTACTACACTCGTCGGTCGTCGGTCGTCCGTCTATCTAATGAATGTATCTGTGACAGAGCAGAGAAAAAGCTCCACTTGGCTGATGGTGGTGATGATGGTGGGATTACCCACAACTACCACCAGCGCAGGGCACTGTTGTAGAGAATGTTGAGCGAAAAGCATAGATGGCAAGTTTGTAAATAAAACGGAACCAAGGTCTGTTGGTTTGGTTTGGGGTCATGCCAAATGCCTACATCGGGAATGAAGCAGAGCACTGTACGCAAAAGCTAACCTCACTTTTCGCTTTGTTTTTATGCTCCGTTCTCCATGAGAACAAAAGAGATAGCAACAAATGGGAGCCAAAGCAAACCCAGCTTGAACTGTCAAAATTCGCGGGTGAGGAGATTTAGGATAGGTTTCGTGCACTGATCTATATGATGGTACACCCAAACATGGTCCGAGATCTGTGCTGCAGATAGGGACTCGAAAATGGGCTAGCCTAACAATCCCCATAATTTATTACAGACGATATAGGAAAAAAAGACTTTACCATACCGTCTGTAGTCTGTAGTATTGATATCAGTATCAATACACTTTTAAGGGCTCATTACATATGTCAATATATTGACAAACATCGTATTGTCAATTATCCTTACAATATAATCAATATATAAATATAACATTAATGAAAATTCAGTGTTTGTTACACAGGTCAATATATTGACAATAAATTGACATACTGACAATATTATTAAAAAGGTAATATTGATGACGATGGTTTTATAGTACGTTCAGACCGAGGGGGGCGACACATCTAAATCTCAAGTTTAGATGCTTAACAAATCTTCAACTAGCGAATCAATCTTCGAAAAATCTTCTTTCATTTCTCGCATCTACTTGCATCGCGCATCATCTTTTTGCAGGAAATCTTCAGAATCATCGCCAATCTTCTTTCTATCTACTCAGCGTGCACGCAGCTAGCCACAGCAAAACACAATCTTTCCTGCATCGTAGATAGAGTCGTCCCCCTCGGTTCAGACTACAGAGTTATAACAACAATCAATACGAAACTAACGGCTATTGGTCCCAAGCAAATCGATTAACGTACCCCATTCTAGTCGAAATTCCAGTACTACACTATGTTTGTTTTAATTCGCTATGAAAGTTAAGATAAAATGAGGGGTTCGTGGATTTTCCTATGTTTCGAGGGGTGCATCGATTAGCTTGGGACCGAAGAGAGTACCAGAGCTGAGCATGTTTCTTCGGGACCTTCTGGTCTTAGAGTTACCTCTATGGTTATAACATGTTATAATGGTTGTCAAATAATTGCAACACAGAAACCACCATCAAGACAGCGCTATAACATGTTATAACTCTGTAGTCTGAACGTACTATTGGTTATAACATGTTATAGCGCTATCTTGATGGTGGTTTCTGTGTTGCAATTATTTGACAACCGTTATAACATGTTATAACTGCTCAGTCTGGCCACCGTTTTATGACCACTAGCGTGCACAGGAATCTTGTTAAGGAGGGGCAATTTTTTTCTATGGTGCATTTAATCTGGGGATGGGGAGTACTCCAAAGTGCGTGGTGTATAGTGTCCACCTCCCAATATTTCCCTACTGTTCAATCTAGCTAATTTTTTTTTTTTTGCTCCGGTGTAGATCGGTTCGTTATTATATTGTGCAACGACGTAATCATGTCATTTTGAATACGGTACTTGTGTACTGGCTAGTTTAGGCACCTTCCGCCAAGAGTTTTTCCAGCACAGGATCGTAGTTAGCCACCAACTGGGTGACACACTTTCCGCTCCTTCCGAATGTCCACGAAGTGGTCGGCTACCTTTGCAAAGTATGCGCACAATATCGATGATACTTCGTCGATACCCTTCCTGGTTTTGAAATTCTTCCACGCTTCCATACTACCAACATGGGTATCACTGCCATTGTGTTTGTCCAGCAACTCGGTCGCTTTCTTCCAATTTCTGAATCCTGTAGGAATCGGACAGCTTGGATCACCCGAAAAGATCGGCAGCATAATGTATTAGTGTATAATTGGCTTTGAAAATCCAGAATATCATTTAAAATAGTTTTTAAAGTTTCTAAGATTTCTTGGAAGTTAAAGTTACAGTTCGATTAATATACAGGTTAAAAATATAAACCAAATAAAATATATTCTTCAAAGTATTGGTATCATTTTTTATTCAGTTACCTTTCTGAAATTTTGTGCAGTACGTTTTTGTATATTTTGAAGGCACCGTTACAGTTTATTTTTGACAAGGTCAAGGTCAAGGTTTTTTAAGCCCTTATATGCTGTTGTAGTTACACTTTACTATTACCGTTGCGAGTACGTTAAACTTGGCCATTTTCAGCGAAAATTGGAGTTTTATTTTTTTCAAATTTTGACCTTTAGGGCGAACACGAAATTATTGCGACACCGAAAATGTCATGCCAATTTTTTTATAATGTTTAGAATCAAACCAAAATTTTAGGGTAGTTTTATACATATATTTACTTCAAAAATCAAACGAAAAGTTAATCGGGCATTTTCGCTTGATGCCCTCCATCAAAGTCTTTACAGTGTCATCCGGTACCAGTTTCTCAGTTTTTTTTTCCATTTTCTTAACATGTCCTTCTCGTCTTTGACTGTCTTCTTGCTCTTCCGAAGTTCCCGCTTCATTATTGCCCAGTACTGCTCCACCGGGCGCAGCTCCGGACAGTTTGGCGGATTCATGTCCTTTGGAACAAAATGGACAGAATTGGCCTCATACCACTCCAGGACACTTTTAGAATAGTGGCATGATGCCAAATCTGGCCAAAATAGCGGAGCTTCGTCGTGCTGCTGCAAGAACGGCAAAAGGCGCTTCTCGAGGCACTCAGATTTGTAGATCTCGCCATTTACTGTGCCCTTTGTCACGAAAGGCTCAGTCCTCAGTCCGCAAGAGCAGATGGCCTGCCAAATGAGATATTTGGAGGCGAACTTCGACATTTTCTTCTTCTTAAATTTGTCGTCCACATCGAACTTGCGCTTGCCGGTGAAAAACTCCAACCCCGGAATTTGCTTAAAATCGGCTTTTATATACGTTTCGTCGTCCATCACACAGCAGCCATATTTTGTCAGCATCTTCTCGTAGAGCTTCCGTGCCCGAGTTTTAGCCGTCGATTGTTGTTCTGTACCTTGTATGTATGTAGTCCAGCTCTCTTCTTTGCATTCTGGACGTAGCTCTGCGACATGCCGATCTTTTTAGCCAAATCACGGCTTGAGACGTTGGGATTTGCTTTAATCATCCGCTTCACCTTTCCCTCCATCTTTTTGTTCTCCGGTCCCGGTTTTCTTCCAGCTCCTTTGCCGAGGTCCAACGTCAATCGCTCCTGGAACCGCTTCAACAGTCTGGAGACGGTTGAATGGTGAATGTTCAACCTTTTTCCCAACTGCCGGTGCGACAGGTCAGGAAATTCCAGGTGTTTGGAAAGAATTTGTTCTCTCAACTCGCGTTGGTTAACCTCCATTTTCGTTGAATCGAAAAACACGACTTCGAGTTTGACAGCATGTACACAATACACATCAATGAGAAAGTGTGCAAAATTTGGTTGATTTTTACCCAATGGTAAAAAAGTTATGCCCTGTTGAATGTGTCGCAATAATTTCGTGTTCGCCCTTTAAATGCCAAGGCTAATAGGATCATTAAAAAGGTTTAAAAAATATGTAACGATTGGAACGAAAGCGCACAAAACTATTTTGACAAGCGAGTACAGGATTGTTAATGGAATGACGACATGTGCGAAGGATTGAGCATGTCAACCCTGTCCCTAAGTACCGCCAGTTGGGGTGACAGAAAATGATGCCGAATATTCAACATATTTTAGAGATGATATAAAGGACAAACCCGAATTTATTGCAACGCACATAAACAGCTGTAAATTTTTAACCTCGGTAACAAATGACTTGAAATTTTCAGAGAAGATTCTTACATGAATTTTTAGCGAGACAACAATCGACCAGGGTTCAATGGCAAACTAATACCTTCTTTTCAAATAGGGAATCCAAAAGCTGTCTTTAAACTTTGTACAGTTGCGAAAAAGTCCATCCTCAGAATTCCTTGAGGTTCTTTTCGAAGTTTTTAGAACTCTATGAACTCTTTTTAAATTCTCAGAAGTCCTCTGGAATTATTTTTAGAACTCTTCTTGACTTTTACTCAACCCACCTTGGAACTGAAATTCCCTTAGAGTTTCAGAAGAATTTCCTCAGTATTATACAGAAATTATTCCCGGAATGAGCTGGAAATTATCGGTACTCCTTTACCATTTTATTCAAAATCTCTTTGGAATTTCACTCAAAATTTAATTTTCTCGGTATTCTTTTCGGAATTATATTGGAACTATCTACATGATTCACTAGAAATTACCCGCTAATATTTTTTTTTTGGAATACTTCCCAGAAATCCTTTGGAAATGTCCTCAGAATTCAATATCCTTGAGGTTCTTCTCGGATTTTGAAGAACTCTCCCAATAGCTGTTTTGAAATTCTTCTCAGAAGTCCACTGCTATTATATTTGGAACTCCTCATGAATTTTTTCTCAGAACACCTTAACGGAAATTCCTTCAGAAATGCTTTCCCGTTTCCTCTGAATTCGCTTGAAATTTTGCTGAAAACCCCTTTGGAATTTCACTCAAAATTTGATTCTCTCAGAGTTCTTCTCGAAATTATCTTGAAACTATCTGCAGGATGCACTAGAAATTATCCGCAGAATTTTCTTTGAATTCTTCCCAGAAAAAATTAGGAATTGTCCTACGAGTTCAATATCCTTGAGGTTCTTTTCGGAATATTTTAGAATTTTTTTTTCTCAGAACACCTTGGAACTGAAATTCCCCTAAAGTTTCAGAATAATTTCCTCTGTATCATCAAGAAATTTTTCCCAAAATAAGCTTGAAATTATCCTCGGAATTTCCTTAAAATTTTACACTACATCCCTTTGGAATTTCATTAAAAATTTGAT